AAAATTTTTGTCTAATCGCTCTTTTCACGACCCATAATTTCCCGTTTGATTGCGTACAATATAATAGTCCGAGTCCGAGTCGATACTTTTATTGCAAAAAACGGGATAACCAAATCTGTAAAATGAACCAATCGCTGCACATATTAACAGTCGGACGTCAGCGAACAAAATTTTAGAACAAAAAACCGGGATTAATAAGATCTAGCAGAACTAGCAGAAACAAATGACACCACATGGATGGAAACCTGCGGTAAACATAACGAAAATAACATCTACAAACATTGCTCGAAAGCGGAACTAAAAATATTTAATCGTTGGATGAAAGTATACAAACGAACATTTGAGTTATATATACTTATACAAACAATAAGTATTTACATAATAATTTGTATATAAATGTACATAATTGCGATAAAATCAAATGTATTTCTTTTTTCACGATTGTATCAGTTGCATATGTTCATATACCGGGTGTCTTATAAAAAGTATCGGTGTTTGATTTGTTATACCTTTAAAACTGAATAAGGAGTTTCAATAGAATAGACTTCACTGAATTGAGAAAGGCCTAAATAAAATTTTGATATATGACTTGAATATATTTGAGCAATATTGAATGAAATAATACAGTTTCATTTCGAAGGAGCAATTTTGAAAATGCTTAAAATTACATTAAATCAGCCGATCAAATTAGCATTTAATTAAATTGCTGTTCTTGTCAACAGAACGCATGATAAATAATATTAACACATTCGATGGTTTATTCATCTGAAAAAGCATGTCCTTGAACACCTATACAACGTTGTGCTCTATTAACCATGCCAGAAAAAGCGTTTTGTACCATTTGTGCTGTTGTGCATCTAAACTTTGGCAAGCTAAGATAACTGCCTGGCGGAGCTGTCTCAAATTCCTAGGCTGCTGCTCATGCGGGACGTTCCAGATTTGTTGCTTCAAATATCCCCAAAGAAAAAAGTCACAAATCGCCAGATCAGGAGATCGAGGAGGCCAGGGCCAATCGCCGCATTTTCCAATGACCTTGCCTGGAAACTGTCCGTGAAGATATCGCATCGTCGCATTGCTGGTGTGGCAAGGGGCACCGTCTTGCTGCCACCACATTACACCACGGTCAATATTGTATTCACGAAAATCTCTCTGAATTACATGATAGTGAATAATCCGTAAATACTCTCTGCTGTCAAGATTCCTTTCCACAAAATGTGGGCCAAGAACAGTACCAGCTCTTGTTAAACCTGCCCAAACCATCACTTGTTCGGCACCTTGAACGAATTCAATGTAATGTTCGCGAGAGTGACCGTTACCATATTCTGCGTATCTGACAACATTGTGAGAGTTTACTTCAGAGTTTAGGCTGAAAACCGCTTCATCAGAAACTATTAATTGATCAAGAAAACCAGGATTTCCGTCAACTGTGTCAACAAATCGATTGCAAAATGCAAGCCGTTGTGCTGGGTCACCTTCTTTTAATGCCTGTCTGCGTATTAAAACGTACAGATGAAATTTCAGGTCGATTTTCACAATGCGATTGAACATGCATCGACTTAATCCAAGACCATTTCTTCGGGTGGAACGTTGTCCATTTTCTAGCAGAGATTGTCAGACTAGGTCAATGTTTTCTATCGTTCTTCCAGTTCTCGTCCTTCCACTCCTTTATTGAGGTTAAGACACATGTCTTCTGTCAAAAATTTGTTGTATGTTCTTTTAATTGCTGCTCTAGTCGGAGCACAATCACCTGGCCAACCTCCTAGCCATCGCCTTCTTACTTCTTTGGCATTATTTACCCTTGCATACTCAATACAAACCCAAACTCTTTGATCTTTCGTTAGCTGAGGCATATTCAACTTGGTATAAAATAACGATATCCTAATTCGCTTGCATGCAAGAGGTCCCATGAGGGAAATCAAAGCATTCGGCAAACTTTGGATGAGAAATGTTGGCATTTTTCATTTCCCACAAGGAACAAAGGTCAAAGTATTTTATGTAAACCATAAAATAATACAAGATTGAAGCTAACTTCTTTAAAATTTTCAGAACTCACAAAAAAAATAGAAAATTTATATCTCACCCAATATGTGGTGAAAGATCTAGCACTGTATACCAAAATTTAAGTTAGCATTTTCCTAATACTATAAAACTTATTTGAAAGCCCATACCTGGTATAGTTTTTACATTATATTAAATCAAACACCGGTACTTTTTTTTGACATACGTAAACAACTTAAACATATCCTACTATTCTATCTCATCTCTATGACTCTTTGAAAAAACCACTATGTCCTTCAATACATTGTCACTATTGGTACATAATTTATATGTCATAAAAAACCCATTCGCGCATGAATAAAATTCAAACTCTGGCTCATAACATCGATGTAAACACTCTTAACCGCATCTCGTATTGTTTTATAACTTTGATTCCTCAGGCACAATCCATAAAGATTGCTGTCAATTTGAACAATGATCGTACAATTAAACATACCCAATGGTAACTTGATTCGTAATATGGACGTATTTGTCATATAAGTGAGATATATGAGATGTAAAACAGATTGGAACCTCGACGCAATACTTTCCAAGTGGGATATTCACATACTCTGTAAGAATCTCCTTCATGTCGTTCTTGAACATGTGTTGAACAAAATACATGAACATTGGTCTCAATGCCTGTGCAAGCTGATTTCTAAACGGGTGAACTCTCAAAATACACACAAAAGCCCAAAGAGAGTCAATATCCAGCAGTTGAACGTACGGTTGGTGAAATATACCCTCAATAGATTGCTAAAATATACCCTTAATATCTCTTGCAGTCGGAGCGTTAACATTGAATATAGCATTTTGAATTTGATTCGTCACATCACTTATACTCCCCATCGTACTGTAATTATAATAAAAAACACACCTTTACATATTATATATACATTTAAAACACATGCTTTATTTTAAAAACACACCTTTATTTATAAACACACACTTTCTTACATAACATCCTAACGAATTCTAATTCTACCAAATTGAGATGTAAAATACCAATTTAAACCCTTAATCAATTTGAACCCTTATATCTTTACTAATCTATCGTATCTTATGTCCTCTCTGAAAAACAACACATTTTGCAATACATCATCAGCATCATCACATAATAAAAAAATTCTCAATGACGAACTTTGTGCAACAACTTGTCCCGTAATTGTAAAATTATAGAGATAATATGAACGGGTTATGTCACAATAATCACTGTATCTTGTATCACTCTATAATTGGGACTCTTCATTCGCATTCCATAAAGTTTACTATTGATTTGAACAATAGCAGTACAGTCCAACATATCCAATCTCAATGCCTGTACAAGGTGATCTCTAGATGAATGAGCTCTCAAAATACAAACGAAAGTAAAAGGAGAGTCATTTTGATTTTCCGTGACGATGCAATGTTAAGACAGGTTACAGAAGCAGTAAACATCAACAGAGTAAAGCAAAGTGAACTAATAAACACAAAGAATGAATGGAATTATGTGAAAATTCCCCGTGCTATCGTGACAGTAGATTGATAATGTTATTACATTAAGTTTCAACAGTAGATGGATAATATTTGTATTACATGAAATTTTTTAACGTTTTTCAACATTTGTTTACTATATGGCGATTTGTTGAAAAGGTCCAAAGGACGAAACTAGTACTTTTAATCGCCTTTTTTATCTTTTTATCTTTTTATTGTACATAGTGTCGAAAGTTAACAATATATGTATTGAGATATTATTATGAGTTTGAGCAAAACTTTCTTGGCTGCAGCAACAGATATATCTAGACATCATCAATATCCAACGGTCGAAAGAAAAGAGAGCCTGGTTGAACATATTTTATAAAATATACCCTTAATATCTTCCTTGGTTGGAGCTTTTGCATCGATTATTATGGAATGCCATGACTGCCTTAAGTCGATGATATTATTTATATGCGGTGTATATATAATTATATGTGGTATTTCTATCATTATATGTGGTGCTTATATAATTATATGCGGTGCTTTTATTCTTATATGTGGTGCTTATATAATTATATGCGGTGCTTCCATCATTATATGCGGCGCTTCTGTCTTGATATGCGGTGCTTATGTCATTATATGTAGTGCTTATTTCGTTGTGTAGTGCTTGATTCGTTGTGTGGTGTTTGATTCGTTGTGTGGTGCTTACTTCGTTGTGTGGTGCTTGATTCGTTGTGTGGTGCTTACTTTATTGTGTGGTGCTTACTTCGTTGTGTGGTGCTTACTTCGTTGTGTGGTGCTTACCTCGTTGTGTGGTGCTTACTTTGTTGTGTGGTGCTTACTTCGTTGTGTGGTGCTTATTTTATTGTGTGGTGCTTATTTTATTGTTGGTGCTTACTTCGTTGTGTGGTGCTTACTTCGTTGTGTTGTGCTTACTTTGTTGTGTGGTGCTTACTTTGTTGTGTGGTGCTTATTTTGTTGTGTGGTGCTTACTTTGTTGTGTGGTGCTTACTTGGTTGTGTGGTGTTTACGTCGTTGTGTTGTGCTTACTTTGTTGTGTGTGCACTACTTTGAATTTGATAATTAATACATCTTGTTTTTTCTCGGTTTATTAATTCTTATCAGATTAATTACTTGTAAATGAGCATGGACATGTTAACACTTAGTTATTATTAACATCGACTTCGTCATTTTCCTGAAAATGTTGATGGGGAAAGGGGTAGCTACAAAACACATTTCCGATTACATTGGCCGTTTTTTCACTTTTTTCTAAATTTGTCAAATTTTCATAACAAAATTTTCAATTTCTAGGTTCCACTCTACTGTCGCAAATTTGCAGGCACTGCTCCCTAACCGCGCCTGCTTTTGCAAGCAATTAAATTCGTTTGTTTTCGTTAGCAATTTGTTTTAATTCGTTTGTCAAATTTTTCAAAATTAAACAAAGAAAGAAAATCTAGTTATGCAAGTGGAAGCACTATCATTGTTTATTATTCATTTATTCCAATATGTCTGCCAGCCACGTGCCTGTCATAGAGAAAATACTGAGCGAAATAGGATTGCAAGCTGTTATCGAACACTTTGCCGAGAAGATCGAACACAAAGCCGAGAAGATCGACGAAAAAATTGCAGTAACGCTAAATGACGATCAATTGATTCGTCTGGGGGTGGCAACAATCGGCGACAGAGCAAGATTTCGCCAGTTATGTCGCCAGCATGGTTCAGATTCAGCTGTCCCGCAAGTTGAAGCCTGCGAAGGAAGTTCTTCTGCACAACGAAGCCGTGCCTACAGGGAACGAGCGCTTCTTTTTAACTCAAGAAGCTCAAGAAGATCCCAGTCTCAGCCTACAAATGCCGCAAAGAAGAAAGAAAAAAAGCGAACTTGGACCGCTACGTTTGTATGCTTGGCGGATAGGCTCGCAGTCAAAGTTCCTACCTCTTCAGAAAAGCAAATTTTGCAGAAAGCAGGTCTTGGCATTAAAAGAATAAAGTTCGAAGCCGACTACGACGAGAAAGCTGTTCTGGAAACTATTACTTCATCCGAAGTAAACAGCGAGACCGGCCAAACAATTGGATTTCCAAAACTGAAAGAATGTGGCGGCTTTGAGCTAATGAATTGTATAGCGAACTGCAGAAATCTAAGCACTCTTGATTGTTCGTGGTCCGTAAAGAGCCTTAAAGCAAATATTGGTGGACAATCACGTATATATTTGAGACCAATTCAAAAAGATCTGTGCACTCAATCTTTAACCGAGGAAACGCCGTGCGAAATCAAAGAAAAGTGTAACGTTTGTGGCCAAGACGTATTAGTTCGGAATTTGCGCACGCACGTTTATATGTGTGCCGAAGCGGAAATTATTCGCAGCGATTCAGAAAGTGAAGAAGAGTTGCCAAGTTCTTTCCAAGTGAATCCCCGTCCTCAGCCGCCAGAAGGGAGTTCAAGCAGTGGTAATCCGGGGACAAGTTTAGCTACTGATTCTGAGCATTCGGAAATTCAAAACTCTGACGTTCAAGATGTCGCAGAAGAATCTGTTGAAAGTCTCATTTCCGAGATCGTAGAATATTGTAAATCACAAGAAGTAGTTGATCCTGTTGAAATTCTGAGGTACTACCAAAGAAAATTTGTGCTTGGCAGAGAACTTGAAATTGCCAATCCAGATGAAATCTGTGAAGGAGCAACGAGTTACATTTTAGTTGACAGAGGAAATATTCTGACAACCTCTTTTGATGAAATAAAAGAAATCTCAAACTTAAGGTTAACTCTGCAAGTCAATTTCTATGGAGAGGTAAGGTAACAGTACTGTATATAACTTGAATTTGAATAATATTATTATAGTTATGAATAAACGGAATATGTATGAACAAAATATGTTGTTGTTGTTGCATGTTGTTTATTAATTCTTGAATTTATTAAAGGATTGGTGTCGACCCCTAGTATAGCGAGGTCAGTGTTTTTTTTTTACGTGTTGAAATTGGGGGCGTAATATGGCCGCAAAAATGATAAAATATGAATACAAAGAACAAACTTGCATCAAGAAATATACTAATTTTCTAAAAGACGTTAATCGATTAAGAAAGATTGTAAAATCTATTTTGCTCAGTGATTTTGCTGGCTTGTAAAATAGCCACCAGAAGCAATATGCGCCCGCAATACTAGGGGTTGACACTAATCCTTTAAATTAGTTATCAACAAAACAATTACAGTGACAACAGGAGAAAGAAATAGGGCAAAGCCCCAATTGACAATGTTGTCGTTGTTGTTGTTGTTGTTGTTGTTGTTGTTGTTGTTGTTGTTGTTGTTGTTGTTCCACTCCTTTTTATGGTTGTACTAATAGAAGCATTCCAACAAAAACTGTGGATCAGTTCATATCCTACCTTAAAGGAACACCTCTAAACTATTCCTTAAAATTTTGAAGTTTCTTAAAAACTCCCTAACTTCCTTTTTTTACTGTTTTGATCATACAAATCTTTTATTTTATTTTTGAGCAATCTGATTGGTCAATAAAATAGGAAGTTTGGAACTTTTCATGGAACTTTAGGGAACTTTTATTTCAGAGGTGTTCCTTCAAGTCAGGAAATGAAACAATGTTTCTAATGATGCGACTAACAGGTTGCTGGGGTAGCCATTTAAAGTAACACCTCCACTATTTGCTATGAGCATTTTGTGAAAAATTTAGTGTGCAGAAGACTATGGCGGGCCACGCAAAGAATTTTTTCGCCTGGTTCTGAATGCCATTAAGAGCAAGTATTTCAACAATGGTTTGAAAAGCCACATATCAGAAGATTATGAAGTTGTTGGCACCATCATGGGTTAGTTAGGTCTATAATAAGTACTTTGAGTGACATACAGTATTAGTGGCCAGATTTAAATATAAATTCTGATGCCAATTTTTGATTATGTATTGACATGGTTTGTAGACAGTTATATATTTATGGATACATGACTTACAATACGTATGTACTTAACATTAATAGAGTTTAGTAGTATAATTACATGTGTGAAAATTTTGTTCCCTGATTTGTTGTTATTCAGAAAATTATAATGGGATAATCACCCGAGCTATTTTCCAAATAGCATTCAATCAAAGCCGTTTTAGCAATTAGATGACAAAGAAATCTGTATTTTTTCTAAATAATCACTTATGAAATCATGCTCACACAATTTTATCCACCGATAACCACCTTCGGCAAATAATTGTTAATTAATTTTTGTAGGTCTTAGCATTCTCCAAAATGGGAAAATTCCAACATTTCTCAGTGATGAGGTGCTCGATGAATTATTTGGCAGCCAAGATCCACAACCATGTATTAAACACATGAGAGAAGGATTATCTAAATTGGGATTGGTTCAGGTTATCTTATTATGCACATTTTTAGCCACAGTTCATATTATGCAGCTGAAGATGAACTTAGAAATCATTCCAGGCCACAAAGGGTTTACCCTCACTAGTTACTACCACTGCTAATATGAGCCACAATCTAAGAGCATATATGGCATTCCATACTGTAGTTTTAAATCTTTATTTGCATAATGCACACACTTGTCATTGCATTTAGATTGTACAGCAGCTACCTATTATGAAAAACCTGTTCCATCACAAGGAAGAAGTGTTAACAGTGAAAAGACTAATCAATCTGTTTAAACCAACATTCAGTGAGGAAGGATCAAATAATCGTATACTGGAGAAATCTATATATGCAGTCTTTTTGAAGTACATTCGAGAAGTTGCAAGTAAGATATTAGGGTTTCGTAAATTATATCTGGGAGGAGATAATTGTCATATATTAAATGCAAAAAATGGCAAGAACAAATTTCGTAGACTTGTATATCTTATAGTATGTCGAAATTTTGGCAAGCAGAAGAAATGGAGGCACGTTTTACCATTTATTTATGTAGAGCAATTAGCACCCTGTACTATGCCTTTACTTAATTTATCTCTTTTAATTTCGTTCTTTCAGTAGGGGTACTGTACAGCACACATGTATATTTTTTACATGTGCGCTGTACGTTATCCCTACTAAAAACAACAAAGGAAAAACAACACTTATAATTATCGGCTTCTTTTTATTTTCTAAATTTTAGGTGGCAGACGAGGCAGGTTGTCTCTTTCAAATATATTAGAGTTTGGTACTTGTGCTGATCAGGAGCCTATACTTGGTTTTTGTTTGCATCCGACATTGAAATTTTTTGAAGTTACCACTACTTTCATCCCAACTGCCAATACATGTACCAATTGTATTAACCTCCCACGACCAACCGTAAATATACCACTTCCTGGTTCTGAGGAACTGTTCAATCTGTTTGATTATGCTTTTATGAACACATATTTTGGAAATATGTAGGTTCTTAATGTTCTTTGTTATACATATTGAATGATAAACCGATTGAATGAACAGAGGGCATTTGATGTTTGCGTTTTGTTACGAAACTTTAAATATACACCCTGTTGAGTAATTTTGTTTTGTTAAAGAAAACATTCCATGTTGCGTTGTGGATTATTGAAAAAACGCAGCATAAGTAAATATTTGAATGTGCGAAAATATGACCATGGTGAATAGATGTATTTTAAATGTCGGAATGGTAATGAGAGCATACAGTATTTATTTGTAATAGATCAAGATATAAAAACAAAAAAAAATCAATGTGTTTTTCTCAAAATACGTATTTTTCAGTAGGGTCCTGCAAAACTATGTTTTGAGTTTTAAAATTTAAACTAGCTTTAAAATTTAAACTAGCTGTGCAATCAAATGACAAGCAGCATTCATTCATTCCACATATTGCTAACAAAGAATCTATGTACACAACAATAGACCATACCCATTATGACGTTTCATGGCATAATTTAACTACTAAGACCAGGATGCTTTGCAAGCTTTTTCAGGCTTTTTAACTAAGAAACTAGCAAAGCATTCTGGTCTTAGTAGTTAAATTTTGCCATGAAACGTCATAATGGGTATGGTCTATTGACCTATAATGCTATTTGTAAGTTAGCCTTACTCAACGGCCATCTGAATAGTGCTGAATTATATCAATAGCTCTTAAGTATAAATCAATGCCATGGTTAGCTGATGGGGCTAGATCTGGAATGTCTCTTGCTAGCTCGGATAGGCAATTTTCACTCAACTCTATTTGTGGAGGATCCAAAATAGGCCTTTCATTATCTTCTGTTTCAAACAAAATTCCTTCTACACCATAGTTAGTTGCATCATCTTCAGTGGCTGTTTCGGAAAGGCCGACAGGATTTTGCATCTGGCTTGACAGCCACAAACGCATAGGGCTTGTTTTTGTCGTGCGCATTCTATGATTTGCCCATGCTGTCTTCCATAAGTCCAACTTTTCATTGATTCTTGGTAGAAATACATGGTGTAAAGCTGCAATGCAGATCGGGTTAAGTGGGTCCACAACGTTCTCATCCTCAAGAAAATGAAACAGTTCATAATAATATGACAGTACACCGGTAAACACATCTCGCCATAAGCGTTCAATTCGTTGGTTATGGGTGCTCTTTCCGGTTATCATACTACATCGGTCAGCTCCCCTTTTCTCGATCATGTAGTCAGCAATGAGCACGTTTTCCAACCCCTTATCCGACCGGACTCTGCTTGGAAGACCAAACTCTTTTACAGCTCCTGTGAAGTAATGAAGCAATGTTGTAGCTTTATTATTGTTAGAACAAGACAGTGCAACAGGCAATCGGCTAAAGCCATCGATGGCCCCAAAAACCACCATGTGCCAACGAATCAGCTTGTGGTTTGTATCGACATGCCATAAATGATTTGCCCCTTTCACATTATAGACACGCCGATGCAAACGACCCTCGATCTGTTAATAATTCCAGCTTCGTCAACTCTATGGAGGCTTTCGCGAAGGCGAAATCTTTGAACTATAACATCTTTACCACGTAACATTTGGCCTATCATATTCTCACCACAATTAGGAAAATCTTTAGTCAACTGTCCAACTATTTCGTCTAGTGCCTGATCGCTGATTGTCGAAAATATGTGCTTTCTTAAACCGTATGAAGCCATACGACGGTATACAGTTCTTTCGGAGACAGACAATAATAAAGATATTTCCTTGATAGAAAACCCATCCAGCAAAAGTTCCTCAATTACATTTTTGGGTAGGTTGTATTTCGGTGCTCCAGCTTCATTGTATATCTTGGTTGGAGATTGGCCGCCATAATTTACACATTCATTTCTCAACATCATCATCTCATTCGTGCATGTTACACACAAGCATTGCAAGTCATGTGAAGACAGCATTCCCACGATATTTGGGGTTATTTTCTCTCGAATAAAATTTTCCACAAGATATCCCATATTCAATTTCTTGAGAATGTTCGACATATCAGAATCTGTCGCCATTTTTTATTTGGACATTTGGGATTTGGCGCCAAATTTGTTTCGCGCTTGTTATATACAATACTTCGTGTAAGTAACGTTGAATGAACAACTAAGCACTTTACAACGACGTACTGTATCTAAGCACCACGCAACCAAGTAAGCACTACACAACGAAATAAGCACTACACAACGAAGTAAGCACCACACAATAAAATAAGCACCACACAATAAAATAAGCACCACACAACGAAGTAAGCACCACACAACAAAGTAAGCACCACACAACGAGGTAAGCACCACACAACGAAGTAAGCACCACACAACGAAGTAAGCACCACACAATAAAGTAAGCACCACACAATAAAGTAAGCACCACACAACGAAGTAAGCACCACACAACGAAGTAAGCACCACACAACGACATAAGCATCACACAACGAAGTAAGCACTACATATAATGACATAAGCACCACATATCAAGACAGAAGCGCCGCATATAATTATATAAGCACCACATATAAGAATAAAAACACCGCATATAATTATATAAGCACCAAATATAAGTATAGAAATACCACATATAATAATATATACACCACATATAATGATAGAAGCACCGCATATAACAAACAATGCACCACATATAATGATAAAAATACCGCATATAATGATATATACACCGCATATAAATAATATCAACGACTTAAGGCAGTCATGGCATTCCATAGATTATAACATCTTGAATTTGATTTGTGATATCGCTTATACTCCCCATCATAAAATATAAATAAATAATATCAGTTTTTCAAATTTTATATATAATTTTAAAAACACATACTAACATGACCCCATAATATTTCTACAGGTGTTTTATTATATAATTCATTCATAATTAGCCATATTTAGATAGTATTACGTCATAATTAGTCATACATGAATTATGAAATGTGACGTCATCCCACTGTAAAAATGCTTATGTCAGCAAAAAATTCCACTATAGGCAAGCTCATTGCGGTAGTATGAGGCGCCAAATGTGACAAAATATGTTATAGTAGTGTGTTATATATTATTTGAAATATACAGGTTACTCCTTTGTATATATGTATTAAAGATGCGTGATATATGTTACAAATTAAAACCTGCAACATGTATCACTATCTGTCATATATATCGTAATTACTGATATATATCACACCGTGTAATATATGTTACGCCACTCGTGATATATATTACGAAAAAACTCGTGATATATCATAGAAGTCGAAACATCGTGATATATATCACACGAACATCGAAATACTTCATCTTATCCCGTGTATTAGGTGCCAGCCAAGTTTGTGTTGGGTGCCTTAAGACAACGGAATATTCGGATTCAGCGATGGAGAGTGCGAAATGCAATAAGCATTGTGGATCCATTAAGTCGTGCCATGAGGCGAAGTGTAGCTATTCTACGTCGAGTTTACAGTGTCCCATGTCCCAATGCATTGTGGTGAGTTTATTTTAACAACTTTGTAAACGTGAGTTACATTTAACCCAGACTGCAGAGTGTGGCAACTGCGCACCCAATTTTTTTTTTCTGGAGCAAATTAGCGCACCAGGCAACAATAAGGGAAAAATTTCGCGCACCTTGTACTTCTAATTCTAAGTTTTATCACATATAATTCAATTTTTTTGGAGCAGCTTTTAAAATTCTGAGTCACTGATAATTTGTTATTGATAACAATTTATAAAAATATTATGGCGCCATGGCGCACCTAAGCATTTTAAAATTATTTGGCGCACCTGAGAAATTTTCATGGTGCACCTGAGAAGTTTTTGCGCACCCGCACCTAAATTCTGGTCGCTTGGCGCACCCAAGATCTTGACGAAAACTGCCACACTCTTCAGTCTGGCATTTAACATTGTAACCCCACAGCAAACCATATTCTGGCTTAAGAAATTGGCCTAACAATTTTTCCAAAGGGTGTATGGTGTGATAACTTTACAAAGATGCTCTGTATTTAATGAAGTATCTAGATTGTATTTCAGTACTCATAGAAAATTCTCTCTTTTTATGCTTAGGCATATTGATGGACACCACAAAATGATTCGTTGGCGTTTGGTGGTACATGGAGGGATAGATGGTTTCAGCAGGAGCATAGTATACTTAAAATGCTCCCCCAACAATTATGCAGCTACTGTCCTTGAATTATTTCAAGACGCAGTTCAGAGATTTGGCCTTCCATCACGGGTTCGTTCCGATTTTGGTACGGAAAATTTTGATGTTGGCAGGTTCATGTTACATCATCCTCAGCGAGGACCAAACAGGGGCAGCATGATAACCGGGAGAAGTGTTCACAACCAACGAATTGAACGACTCTGGGCTGACCTTAGAAGAGTAGTTGTTGCCTACTATATGAGATTGTTTTCCCATTTGGAAAATGTGGGTGCTTTAGATGCCCTCAATGAATACAATTTGCTTGCACTACACTATATATATATACCAAGAATTAACAGAGCACTCAATGAATTTGTAGAGGACTGGAACAATCACCCACTAAGTACAGAAGGAAACCGCACTCCTCTCTCAATATGGCATTCAGGTGTAACCTCTCTTCTCAACTCACAATATAGTGCAATTGAAAATATTACTCAGGGTAATATAAACTGGCACAACTTTGGGATTGATGAGGATGGACCTGTTCCAGACACCAGCACCGACAATGATATACAAATTCCAGAATTTCAGACAAACCTTACACATGAACAGTGGCAACATATAGGGAATATGGTAAATCCTCTAGCTAATGATGGAAACCATAACTGTAACCTATATTTAGAAACTTTGAATTTTATAAGTGAGTTTGTAAATAATTAATAGTTCAATTTTAAGAAACTACAATTCTTAACATTCCATTTTATTCAAGATATCCTAAAATTTTGTATCTAACACAGGAATAATGGTATATATACAATAACACAAAATATGAAATCAATGACAAAATGAACTATAGTGTAAGACATGCAAATAAACTATGATTGTAAAGAAAGTATTGCCTCTTAGTTGTCATTGCATAAAAGAATTTTAACTAAATAACAAACAAACAGTTAACCAAGTAACAATTTCTTAACTTTAAATGTGAGTATGAATTTGCTTATTAAAATTTGCCAAATGCAACTTTTCCATTAGCAATGGAAATATCCATTTTCTTCACAAACTCCTTGTACTCTTTGTGCACAGTGGGGATGGAGAGTTTATTAAAGCATGTGTCTGCCATTGCTAAATCATTGTGCGAGTCATTTAGTAAAAATCCAACTTTCATCTCATCTTTCAACATTGGTAGCAAAGGCCAGCCGGTCCAAAACTGCACAAGATCCTTTAGTGTTTCCTCCTCTAATGAAATTTAATTGCATGTAAATAGATGCCTGCTTTAGACACAATCACAATTTCACATAATTATTGACAATAAGACTTCCATTGCATCTTATACTGCACGTATAAGTTTTCAAGTTATATGTAAACAACGAGTTTGAGTGTTTCATCAGGGGAACTAAACACGAGAAAACAGTATGAAACACGAGCGCGCGAAGCGCGAGTGTTTTATTGTTTTCGATTGTACCAGTTAAGGAACCCAAATCTATACAATAGTATAGCCCATACTGTACATGAAATAATGTTTCTCTTACTTTGAGCTTTTTCTCGAGTATGAAGTTCCTTTAAATATCTTTCCATGAGCATTTTGGAATGCACTTTATCATCATCGTCAGCTACATCATACTTGAGGAGGTGCTGCATATCCTCCAAATCAATGGAACCATCTGCTTCTGGGAAGATTAACTTTTGCACTTCTTGGTGTAAAATGGCGACATCGAGTATAGTTGACACAATATCGTTTTCTGACTTCAAGCCACAACGGAGGTCATCAAGAACTGGAATACGTTTGGTGATAACTTCAGATATCAAGACACATTCATGAGCTAGCAACCTTGAATCAGGACGAACTTCAAGATGTGGAAAACCACCTGCTAATAATGCCTCAGATATATTGCTGTATTCATCGGAATTCATGAATTTTTGAAGTTCGCTATCTGGACAATTTAAAAGCTACAAATTTAAGAATACAACATGGATAAGACAAGGTATTATAAAATGACTGTTAAGTAATTGTTAAAATTACCCTGAACACCTGTATATAAATCAGTGTTTATCACCTGACACTCATATGTCGCCAATCATTAGAGAAAAATTCATGCATCCACAGTTGTGAGCAATCATTGTCGCCAATAATTGAGATGTATGAGAAACAGGAAGGGTTAAATGCCTTTTATTGAACCACCTACCTCGTCTAGATTTTGGCGCAAGCAAGGATCTGGAATGTCCTGAAGTGTGAGGTGTTCTAGCACACTATCCCGTCTACCACTGACAATGTAGTTTGAAACTGCTGGTGAAACTCCCTCCAAACCTCTGCATTTATTAAGGAGGGAATGGAGGACCATCTTGCCAACCATTTCAAAGAAATGAGTTGACACCAATTCGTAGTTATTAACTGGAAGCAAATGACCAGGTTCACCTTCAAAAATTCTAATACCGTTGAAATCTCCTCGAACCAGTTCATCCATTAATATGCGAAAGAACTCTCTCCTCGGTCCACCAGCATCAACTCCAGGTTCAAACATGCCTGAGCTTACAAACTGCACATTCAGGGGATTTCGAATTTTGAAAGATGGATTCTTGTACTTCTTCATGATTTGCTCAATCATGCTGCGTTCTCTTGCTATGACAAGGTCCATCTCAGGTGCATGGCTCACATTTACATTATCGATGAATGTATGTAAAGCATCCAGGGGGTTTAGCTTCCTTATTTTTGTGTGGGAGATAGGCATTGTCCATTCATCACTTTCAACACTGTCTATAATGTAAAAATACAGAACTGAAATTTAAAAATCACATTGAAGAAACCTATTAACTGGAAGTACTCCTACAATTCTATGTTAAGTAGTTAAACATTTTACTGTACTCTTCCATGAGTGAAATCCACAAGCATTATACTCATCAGTAGAAGCATGTTGCCTGTTAATGCAGTGCTGAAATATACTGTTCACAACCAGTGTGGTAACGTCGGTTCACATGATCCAATTCACTTCATGATGGAATGTAGTCTGTCATTGATAAAGCATTACTGCATTGCCTTTAGGTGATTTACAGCTCTTATATAAACATGCATCAGAAGTGAATTGGATCTGACTAAATTGTGCACAGACCTTGGCAGTATTTGTTTTTCTTTGTGCACAATCTGTAATTATTTGTATTTTACCTTGTATTTTACCTTATTTTAATGTGTGAGTAGAAATGCTTTTCTACACAATCTTATGATCACTGTCAGCCATTATTTCCCTATGTAATTACCTATGTCATCATTATCTTGGTTATCCAAAAGATAATTGATAGCACTTGTCAAATTTTCCTCTAGGAGGGCACGTTCAATCCGTTTGCTACTTTCATCAGGAAATATATTTTGCAGCTCTTGCTTTTTCCAGTCAGAGGTTTCATTCAAAGCTATCTGATTGATTCCAGGGCTATCTGGTGTATGTGAAAAAATACTCTGGAATCTAGGCTTTTCACTCTCTGCTGACTGTCCTTCCTCATCATTTGCATGCAACCTTGAAGCCTAGGACAAATTAAAATAAAACAGAAAAAAACAGTAAATATTAGTCTGTCACATTGCCACAAGCGCAAATCTACAGGTAGCATATTTTAAAATATCTTACATGAGTTACATCCTTGCTCATTAAAGCATATCAAAACAAATCAATTCCCTAAGTGCTGTAACTGCCATTACTGTATATTTATCTGCAAGTGCTAAATGCTATACTTTGATAGTATATCTCCAAATGTTCTCTGTTATAATATCACCATTTGCCATTAACATAGTATTTCAATAATTTGAAATTCATTTCAAAAGTTTCTAGTAATGCATAATTGCACAACCTCATACTCAGGATGATGCTCCTAGTCTTTTACTGTGGTTATTAGAAGACACAGGTTTGCTCTCTTTTGTATTTTTAAAAGCAAAAAGCAATAACAGTGCCAATGACAGTGCTTTTCACAATCCACAACCTGTATTGACTCCAATTTTTCAATAATCCATACACAAGTTCATGTACTTACCTTTTTCACATGATGTTGGGTGTTGATCATAATTGCACTTGTTCCTGCTTCATCTAAACAATAAACAAAATCATTCTTTTGATAGGCAACCTTAAAATACATGTATACACATTGCCAGCACCCTAAACCTCTTGGTTATTAGATTATAAGTGAAGCTATTGGTAAATAAAGTAATTTATATCAAATCTTCAGTCCAAATGTGCTATCAGCTTTTCAGACCAAATTAAAATAGATGGCCAATAACAATTCTAAAAAAAAATTATTAATGTGGAAAAGTTATTTTTACCTTCATCTGATGATTGACCTGTTTCTTCAGACTCCAAGTGACGCTACAATAATTAGAAATAGTTTGGTGTTGAAATTAAATAACAAGACAGATAATACCTCACAGATGATGGTACATGACAAATTTAGATCTATTTCAATATATTGTTTTAATACCTCGGGTATAAGCCAGACAGTCCTTTGCGTAAACAGCTTTCCCACTCTCTCACCATCTAGACTCTGACCTGGCATCAGGTTAGGAGCGACAAGTTCATTACCAACACCAATTACAATCTTAAAACTTTGATAAACTAATTTTAATATAAAATTTATACTTATGTATATTTAAATAATTATATTCAATTTTCTAGTTCTTTGAAATTGAGGGTTTTATTCACAATATTCATCACCGAGCCTGAGGTGAATAATTGTTTTACTGTAGTATAATTTTATAGGTGATTATTGGAGAAAAATTCATGGAAGAACAATTCATGTTATTATACCTTATAGCTTGAAGTTTGTCTTGGAATGCTGCACGAAGATGCCGATACACATCATCCTCTGTCCAATTTCGGCAAAAATCAAACGAGTTTATGACTTGTCCTTTCCTCATGAGGTCAGCTTTTCTTTTCCCCTTTACAACTGACGAGGCAGTGGGGCTGCTCAACAAAACTACCTCCCTTGTAAATGTCACATTCGCAGCTGGTTTCGACAGTGAACTGGAACTTCTGCGACCTCGGGAGTTATTATTGTTGCGAGATCTTGATCGCGATCGCGCGGTGTAGCTCCCTAAACCAGGCAGAAAACTTGCAACTGTTCCACCACCTTGCTGTTGTTGGCCGGTTGACGCCCCACGTCTAAAAATTGCATTGAACTCCGCGACAGGACTAGCGTAGGATGTTTGGCTACGACTGCTTAGACTCGTACTTCGATTCTGATGAGATTGAGTATTACTTGTAGGGGAAATTGATACCGAGCTTGACGAGGTGCTTGATGCTATCAGTCCTCCATTTGTCGTTGTTTGTCCTCGTGTAGTTGACGGCTGCTGGTTCGAGCTTTCGATCACATCGGTTATTAGCGAACGAAACTGTGGATTGTTAACCACATTCTGGACAATCGAATCTACATCTCTACATTCATCTTTATGCAAATCAGCCATTGTATACGTAATACGCTGACACTAAAGCTACGAAAGCATGCAAGAAAACGGCAAGTCGGCAACACGAGGCAACCCAACACGAGAAAACCACGGAGGCGGGAGACGAGGTTGCATCACGAGTGGGAAAACGGCGCGAATTTGCTTTTACAGGCCAATACTTCATATTGTAGCCTTGTATCTACCATTGAAAATAAATTTATGTCCCCCCCCGGTACCCAGCAATGTTATTTGGCTGGCACCTAATACACGGGATAAGATGAAGTATTTCGATGTTCTTGTGATATATATCACGATGTTTCGACTTCTATGATATATCACGAGTTTATTCGTAATATATATCACGAGTGGCGTAACATATATTACACGGTGTGATATATATCAGTAATTACGATATATATGACAGATAGTGATACATGTTGCAGGTTTTAATTTGTAACATATATCACGCATCTTTAATACATATATACAAAGGAGTAACCTGTATATTTCAAATAATATATAACACACTACTATAACATATTTTGTCACATTTGGCGCCTCATACGGTAGCACTTTTGAGAGCTGCCCAGTTTCCAATTCCCAGAATCTAAAAAAAATCAAGTGTAAAGTATAATTTTCAACCTTTTTTTCTAGGATACAAAATGGATTAACAGAAATGGCTCAACTATTACACTTTTCATACCTGTCTTCTCTCCTCGGCTCGCCAATACGTGAATTTGGCCTTTTCATGCTGCTCTGCCATTGCCATTAGATCCTCCAATTTCAAGCCGTACAGGGAACTGCAAAATTCAAGCGAAGTTGTTCCTAGATGATTAACAAAGACAGTTCATCATGTAAATACTTGCATTACTCTATTCAAAGTTTTTGGAGTTAAGGACTTGCTTTCATTTGCTTTGGAGAATCGACCAAGTATGCTTTCGCAAGTATCTTGTTTACCTTTTCTAGTATTTCCTGTAAAGTATGTTTCTTCACAAGGCAAATGTGTGAGAGTTTCGAGGTAAAAAAGTGAAAGCTAATTTAAATTTTTAAAAGCAATGCCAATGAGTTTAATGAATACCGCATTTTGATATGTGAAACTTTTTGCCCGATAGTTTCTTCACAATTTGTTTAATAGAAGCTTCCATATCCCATATATATATATATAATTGCGTTTTACACAGTATAATTACCTTCAAATAATCCGAGCGTACATTCGTTCAAAAACGTGATATTTGTTTGCTTAAATACAAACGGTCAACATAATATATAGTTCAGTAAAAAATCTATTACCATGCAGGACAATACCAATAGCATTGCTATTACAATAGCAATCCTTACTTTGTCCGCCTTCATTTGGCCATTCCTGACAGGGCGAAATCTCTGATGAGGTATGCAGAAGACACTGATTCGTATATTTATGAGATGCCCCAGTTTAGACTTAATCGAATTTGACCATGCTTATGGACTGTGATTCAATAATTATCAGCAAATTAGCAAATATTATTGCACCAGTAATGGTAAATCGAAACTTGCTTTCGACAAATAGATAGGGACTAAAATGGATGGGCAACGAACACTTCCAAAGCTCCTCAATTTCCCTAGAAGGAAGGACATATTACTTGAACGATATTGTAGAATTCGTGTCCGAACGGAAAATTTGTCAGGGAAAACTAATTAAGTTTTATGCTAAGGTACAGTAGAATGGCAATTTCATCAACGCTCTTGTTATTTTAATTCCATAACAATATTTCTAACTAATAATATATATGCATTTTGTCCATTCCGAATTTACTGTTGTCGGAATTGTTTTTCTCAGGGTAATTCATAATAAAACTGAAACTATAAGCAAGATCAATATTTGCACAAAGAAGAAAGTGGTTATTACTGTATTTGCCCAGATGTAATAATTGACAGGTCAGCAACGGCTATACAACAAGATGAAAATCAAACCTCTTCAAATTAAATACAAATATGTCAACAACCAACCTATTGAGGTGTCTGAACAGGTAACAGATAAACCGTAATAAAAATTTTGTCTTTCGATTACCTAAAAAAATTCTACAAAATATATTTACATCGTCATCAAACACACGAAAATTGCACATTACGAACTGTTATCTTTTTTTATCGGAAGCAACACAATTCCTTGCACCCCATAGAGACAAGGTTCTTACAAATGGCCAAAAACCAACAGCTATGGTCCCCTTGCTTGTATTCAGTGATGAAACCAGTGGGAATACCCCTGTTGCGTCCCAGGGAGGGAACAAAGTGTCAACCAAGGAAAACACGAGATAAAAAATAAGCTTTAATTCGTAAAAACCAAGGTGAAAACTATACAAAGAATGGAAACGAATATCGTAAAGAAATTACAAATATTAAACAGTAAGATTAACGATTTACGAACAAATACGACAACATACATACATCTATAGCTTTACTCCACTCCGATGAATAAGCTTTATGAAACGTAGACTTTATAATCTCTAGACTTCAATAAGTTTTAAGTTTACTCCAGCTCCTGCAATTTCAAAATGGTCGCCAAAACAAAATGTGACCTCTTATATCCTAAGGAGGCCTGGGACGAGTTCGACATAACGTTCTTACATCAAGTACATAACACTCCTCGCCCAAGGACGGTGAAACGTCCTTGCTACAATTGTTTAGCATAGAATACTCGACTATTAGGTATGCATTAAAGTAACAAGTTCACTAATTGGTCTGTAGTAGACTTTTTTCTCTCCGTCCTTTGAAATAACGATTTTTGCCTTTCTGACTTTTCCGTCTTCACTCGGTATCGCTTCGACGACTCTGCCAAGAGGCCATTGGTTACGTGGGCTTTGATCCTTCATGATGATGATATCTCCTTCTCTTATATTTGGCTGTTTTTTGTTCCATTTTGTTCTTCTCTGCTGTTCTTGAAGGTATTCTCGTTTCCAACGTATCCAAAACTGATCGGCTAAGTATTGTGATCTTCGCCAATGACGACGTGAATAGACATCCTCTGGTGTGAACACGCCCGGTGGAGGTAGAAGGGGTCGGGTCTTCATAGTCAAAAGTGTACTAGGTGAAAGTGGTTGGGGTTGATCGATATCGGAAGGTACGACGGCGATGGGGCGTGAGTGAATTATGCCAGTAGCTTCGGCCATAAGGGTAACCAGTAGCTTGTGTGTTAGTTGTGGACTTCCAAGTTCCAGGAACATTGCGTCCAGCACACGCCTAACCGTGCCGATTTGTCTCTCCCAAACCCCACCGAAGTGCGAGGCATGGGGAGGGTTAAATTTCCATTTGCAGTTTTGTTCTGAGACGTATTTCTTAATGTCCTTCTGGTTCATGGCGTTTAAGGTTTGATCTAATTCAGACTTTCCCCCAATGAAGTTGGTACCTCGGTCGCATCGCAGAAGAGATGGTGGGCCACGTAAAGCGAAGAATCGCCTAAGGGCACAGATAAACGAGCTCGTCTCCATCGATTCGAACACCTCAATATGGACAGCTCGGTAGTTGAGACACGTGAATATTAGTCCCCAACGTTTTGCGTTAGCTGCTCCTGCTCTTAGTTTCCGGGTCTGTATAGTCCAGGGCCCAAAAACGTCAAAACCTACGTTAGTAAACGGCGGCGGTGTTTCCAATCTATCGCGTGGTAGATTGGCTATGATTTGTGTTAATAGCTTCCCACCCAGTCGTCGACATATGACACAGCGCTTGATTCTCCTTGAAATCGTCCGGTTCGCTCCAATTATCCATATTCCCGCTTGAAGGATTCTTCCATGAGTAATCTGCCTGCCTTGATGATGGACGGTTTCGTGATAGTGGTTGATTATTAAATTTCCCAAGTGAGAATCTCTAGGGATGATAGCTGGATGTTTTTCCTCAAATAGTAATTCAGCATGACGTAGGCGACCATTAACTCGAAGTACCCCGTTGCCGTTGATGAAAGGATCGAGATTGTATAGGCTTGATTTCTTCAACGACTTCGATTGCTGTATACTTCTGATCTCGGGAGTGAAGGCGTCCATTTGCGCAGTTTTAATAATCAGATTTTCAGCCTGTTTCAATTCCATTGCAGATGGGTTTGTCAAGGGATATGTTGGGGTTGGAGGATTCGGTGGATTGCTGCGGGTATGTCTGGTGTTGCCTGTTGGCAAATTTCCTCCTCGCCGTCGGGCTTTGAATTGCTTTACTTTAATCATCAGGTTAACTAGAGCTCTGCAGAGTGTAGACCACTTTGAAAAACGATTAAATCTTTTCGATCCCAGGCATTCTACAAGTTGAACCTCGGATGAATAGGTTAACACGTCGGGGCGATCCTCGGGATCGTCATTTGTAATACCAAGTTCAGGGTCTAGCATGGAAGAGGAATTACCGTTATGCAGAAATTCTGGACCGTTAAACCATGACGATTTTTTGAGCTGTTTCGCTGGTTTACCTCGAGTCGCTATGTCGGCAGGATTATTGGTTGTTTCCACGTATCTCCACTGCGAGGGATCTGAAATATTGCGAATTATCTGAACCCTGTTCGCTACGTAGACGTAGAAGCGTCGGCTTTCATTCTGAATATAGCCTAATACAACTTTGGAATCGGTGTGGAACACAATTTCGTCGATATTTTCTCGCAGTTCGCGAGTTATCCACTTTACAGCTCGGACTGATAACACTGCGGCGCAAAGTTCGAACCTTGGGGTAGTCGTTGCTTGCTTTGGGGATAATCGAGCTTGTGCGAACAGAAGTGAGACATTTACTACTCCCTCATTGTTTTCTGGCTTAAGGTAGATTGCGGTACCGATTGCTTTATGGCTGGCGTCCGAGAATGCGTGGATTTCTGATCTTTTCGTTATGCCAAAGGTTTCGGGACGATAAGATCTTGGAATTCGGATGTCTTCTAAGTCGCGTAACGAATCTCTCCAGCAACTCCATCGATTTTGCAATGGTTGCGGAAGAGGGTCGTCCCATCCGAGAGGTGCTTCGTTACCCCGTTTTTCATTCCCAATTTTGACAAGATCCCGTAGTAATAATCGTCCTTGCAGGGTTACCGGAATCGCGAATCCCAATGGGTCGTATATTGAGTTAACGACAGATAACACGCCTCTACGCATACACGGTTTCTCTGGCAACGTGATTTGGAACGCGAAGGCATCCTTCTCCAAATCCCACATTACTCCTAACGACCGTTGTGAGGGAAGTGGGCCTTGTTCGATATGTAGATCTTTGAGGCCTTCGACTCGGTCTTGGTCTGGAAATGATTTCATGACTTCAATGGAGTTAGAAGCAATCTTATGAAGTCTCAAGTTTGCAGTTTCGAGCATTGCTTGCGTTTTCTTGATGAGAGATACGGTTTCTTCCGCTGTATCGCGTGATGTCAAACTGTCGTCTACGTAGAAATCTTCGACAACAAAGTTTTTAGCGTCTTGACCAAATTCTTTCTCTCCACTCTCTGCCGTTTTTCTGAGGCCGAACGTTGCCACAGCGGGACTTGATGTGTTGCCAAACAAGTGGACTACCATTTGGTAAGCGATGACTTCCTTTTCTCTACTGTTATCAGCGAACCACAAGAACCGTAGTAGATCTCTATGTGGTGGATGGACGTGGAAGTTGTGAAACATTTGTTCTATATCACACATCACACCAACGGCATTTCTTCTGAATCTGATGAGTATTCCCAGAAGACTGTTGTGCATATCTGGACCTGACAAAAGTTCCTTATTGAGAGATGTTCCTTTGAACTCTGCTGAGGAGTCGAATACCACTCGGATCTTATTTGGCTTGCGTGGATGGTATACGTCAAAATGTGGTAGGTACCAGATCTTTCCACTTTCGTTTGGTGGCCACGCTTTGATTGGTATTGGTACAGCGTGACCGCGTTTGAACAATTTTGCCATGAAATCGAAGTAGTCATGCTCCATTTTCGGATTTCTCTTGAATGAACGTAGCAGACTTTTGAGACGAGTTGAAGCTTGACTCCTATTATCAGAGACGTGTATGTCGCTGGATCGAAGGGGCAGTGGCATTTCCCAATGCCCTGTTTGGTTTTTGTGGATTTGGGATTCCATTATTTGGATGAAGCGTTGGTCTTCTATTGACATGGTGGTTTCGTTGTCACGATCCATTGTTTGGTACACGTCAGGGAATTTCTCTTGTATAACATAGTTATTTGGGCAGGGTGACAGCTTATGATATGAAATTTCTCTTGGGGTACTCTTCTCTAGTTTAGGTTTACAATCACATTTTAGAATACTCACTTCCTCTTTTTCGAAATGTGTCTGTGTTGGTGGATGGAAACAGATTGTACGGTGGGTGCTAACGTGGATGGGTTGACAGCAAGTACTTCTCTTTTGGTCCTGACATGCCGAGACCATCAGCCAACTCCGGACTAGTCATAGACGCGTTACTTTGCTCATCTACGATGGCATAGACTCGGAATTTCTTTTGCGCTCTGTCTGGGTGAAACACATCTAGAAGGGTGATCTTGCTGCAAGAAACGTTTCTGTCGGCGTTATAACCAATATTCATTCGCGCGGATTTTATTTCTTCATTGTCAGCTCCTTTGTTGCACTTCTCCTTATGAAGAAGTGTTGGGTGGCGTTCGCTACTACACTTCCCGCATTTCACCTTCGATTTGCATTGATGGGCCATATGCCCAGGGAGTAAGCACCGGAAACATAACTTCCCTTCCTTGATCCATTGCGTTTTCTCCTCGAGGGTTTTTTGAGCAAAGGCTTTACACTCAGACAACGTATGTCCGATGCATTTGTGGAACGGACAGTGCTTTTCTTTATCTTCCTTGTCTTCTGTTTTAGTTTCTCCCGCTAAGACCATATGCAAAGGGTTCTCCGGTGGGATAAATGGTGATGAAGGGGGTTTTCTCCGATCTAGCTTTCCTCGTTTCTCAAAGGCTGTGACGTTTGGGTGATTTTTGAGTAAGGCTTGCTTCTCGATCATGGAGGCGAAGACTGTAAAATCAGGATAAGCGTCTTCGTTTTTCAGAGTGTATTCGATGACTTGCTTGTCCCACCTTTTACGAAGAGATTCTGGTAAGTTGTAAAGAATAGGTCGAATGGTGTTTGGATAGTTGAGGCATACTAAGCCTGGGAGTTGACTGACTTGCGAAACAACGTCCAAGCACAAGTGAGAGAAAGCTTGGAGTTTCTTCTTATCGTTCTCTCCAAATTTAGCTGATTCTCGAAGTCTTGTAAGGAATGCGCTCGTGATTACTGCGACGTTACCAAAACACCTTTCCAATTCAGTCCACAGTTCCTTTAACAATGTCTCGGGGTCTTTATGACGCCTTTTCCGATAACTATTCACCAACTTTCGTGGCTCACCGGTCGTATACATACATAGGTAGTTCATTTTGTTCTCTAGAGTTATGTCGCAACCTTCTATCATTCCTTTAAAGGCACTTTTCCAAGGATGGAACATCGTAGCATCACCGGAAAATACATCTGGGTGGCATTTTGATAAGCTCAACTTCGCCAAACTTGCGGTCAACTTCTCATTCGTCCTAGTTATTGCTCCCATGCATTGTTGCACTGCACCACTAGGTTCCTCTGTTTCGTAAATTTGGTGTTGTTCTGATCGGTATGAGGTCGGATGAGGTAAGTTCTGGTTGAAGTCGTCGTTAGCTTCACGTTTAATCTTTCTCACGACGTCGTCTTCAAAGTGAGGTTGGCTCTCTACCCATGCTTTGGTGCGTTGCGACGGCGCTAAGCTAATTTTCTGGCTTGATTTTCCAGAATAAGATTCGTTTTCTTCCTGAATGATGGATCTTTCAATAGCTTCAAGCTTTGCTTGAGCTACTGCTTCCAATTTCCGAGCTGCGAGGACCGCCATATCGTGTTCGTGTCGGGCTTGTGCTGCTAATCTCTCAAGCTCGTCTTGAGCTTCTCTCTGCTTTCGATCTTTCTCCTTCTTAGCAATTAACATGTCATACTCCGCTTGTTCTTTCGCGGCAGCTGCTTCCGCCAACGCCCTTCGTCTTTCTGAATGAAACGATGAACGCGAAGATCCAGTTTTGTCCGAAGTTCTCGATCGTCTGGACTTTACGGAGGGCGGGTTCTCGATTCCAAATTCGCTACTTTCCAGTTTCTTCGCTGCCTCTTGGGAGACGGAGTCTACTGCTTGTAGGAAACTTTCAAAAGTTTTTCTAATTGTTGGTTCCACTTCGGTTGCTTCGCCCGACTTGTCCTGTGCGAAAAGTCCTTCGAGACCTTTGACAGAAGTTTCGAATGTTCGTTTCTCTTTTTCGAGCAAGTCTAGGGCTTCTTTTATCGCTGAGTTCTCTTCTATTGCCTTGTATACCAAGTCAATCGCTCTTTGTAGTGCTCTTGTTTGTTTATTGAATGCGTTTGTCTGACTTATAAGCGCGTTCTGGAAGCCTTTAAGTGTAAAAGTTCTTGTACGCTTCTCTCCATGTTCAGATACAACTGGGCTAGGTAGACTGTTGCCAGCGTCTTGCGCTATTTTGAGAGTCCACGTCTTTGTAAAGTTCGACCAGTTAATCTCTCTGAAAGAGCCAGATTTTTCACTGTTGCGTCCCAGGGAGGGAACAAAGTGTCAACCAAGGAAAACACAAGATAAAAAATAAGCTTTTATTCGTAAAAACCAAGGTGAAAACTATACAAAGAACGGAAACGAATATCGTAAAGAAATTACAAATATTAAACAGTAAGATTAACGATTTACGAACAAATACGACAACATACATACATCTATAGCTTTACTCTACTCCGATGAATAAGTTTTAGGAAACGTAGACTTTATAATCTCTAGACTTCAATAAGTTTTAAGTTTACTCCAGCTCCTGCAATTTCAAAATGTTCGCCAAAACAAAATGTGACCTCTTATATCCTAAGGAGGCCTGGGACGAGTTCAACATAACGTTCTTACATCAAGTACATAACAACCCCCAAAAAGTGGAACCGCAAAATTCTGGACCCTATAAATTGTAAATCTGGTAGCTAAATATTAACTAGCTAGTGTGAGCAATTAGACTACATTTAAGATTGGGCAAGTACTAATTAACAGCTAAAAGAAAAATAGAGAACATACATTTTCTTGCAACATCAAATATTGTGCCATCCGTACCCATTGGTAAATCTATAGCCAGAGACTTGGAAGGTTAGTGATACACAATCGCAGCATGTTGCTTAAGGTGGTAAAATTAATTGTCATTTATATTTTACAAAAAATATACATTTATAAACAAAGTTTAGTTACTATATGATAATTGCTCTCATTTCAGAAATCGAGGATGGCAAAATGATGTATGATGCACATTTAAATAGCGAGGCACTTGTAAAGGCCCCGGTAATGTGTCTTGGCAGAGAATCCATGTGCATCTGAATTTGAACATCATTTGGGTAGCTGCGCAAACAAGTTCTGTAGAAAATGCAATGTAAGTTATTTTTTTAAAAATTAGTAATGAGAGTAATTATTGCATCTCTTTTCTTTCACTGTATGAGAACAAGAAAAAAAATGAAAAGGTATTTCATCTGAGGCATAGGGAAACGTTAACGGATACTTACTACAGTGCGTAGAGTCAATCAGGGTTTACGTACGCTTCCCTCAGTTCCCTCGTATATGAACAGAATCAAGACTTGATCGGCATTTATTTCATTATATTTTTACACTGTAGGCGACCTTTTTCAATTCTACAGAGATACAATGGCTACGAAGTGATGAATATATTCAACAACAGGTTCAAGTAATACTCGATTGTCCGTAAGTGTATATATTGCCAAGTTAGTATCAAAGGTGGTATACCATAAGTAGATAAGAAATAGACAAATTTAACAATTCTCGATGTTTTGACCTGCAAGCCTTGATCAGGAGGATTAGTAAGTTCATACAAACTATCCTGACGACTATATTTAAATAGCTATGTGTATTCAACAAATATTTACTTTACATGTCTTTATCAATGCAAATATATAGGTCTGAAAAAGAGAAAAAGAAAAAACGAACTGAGTATGGGATAACAGAAATGGGTGGTGCATTTGATAATTTTGGCGGCGCAAAAAGAAGCGATTTCGTTGCAGAAATCGCTGGGAAATCAGCAGCAACAGCGAGACAGGAGACACATGAGAGCTCAAGTCAAGAACCAAGAAATATTTCTACACCAACAGCATCAATGCGGAAAGTTGGTAGTTAAACAGAAGATGAATACCAAGATCAAGGCAGTTCATTTAGCTATAGACTGATTGAAATGTCTAGTTTATTGAGTGCATTTCAACCCTTACATCAGTGTGATGCTGGAGGACAATTGCAGTTGAAAGATGACAAAGCTCGAAGATATGGAAATGGCTCGGTTCTTGAAATAGAGTGCTCCAAATATGACACTAAATTAGAACTTCAAACATCAGGAAACACTAATGAGACATGGACAAACAAAAGTTCAAAAGATGTCAATCGAAGAATGGTGTATGCTGCATCAGAAATGGGAGTTACTAGAGAAGCAATGTCAACAATGTGTGACATCTTCAACATGCCTCCTCCTTGCCTGCGA